GCTACTTATCTCCGGTTCGTCTGCTACACGATCCAAAATCGCTTCTTCGACATCGGGATTCATTACATAACGTCCACGTCCGTAATCAGCCATCACAGGAGCAAAGCGACCGGTCTCACGAAGACGTCTTTCAACAGCCGCAAACGTTTGATGGTTTGGTACACGACGATTTGGAAACCTGTGAGTATACTCTCTAACGCATTGGCGACCATTTCCACGACAGTATCCAAACACTAATAGCATATCAGTTAACTCTGCGTTACTGTATTGAAAGGCCATATTACAATTTTAACAATGAAATTTTAAGTCTTCAAGCAAAACGTAAATTGTTAAAGTTTAAGAAACAACAAACAAACGTTACGCCACTCAAAAGCTTCACAGCCATCTTTTGATTTTTTGAGGAACAATCGCATGTAAGGTGCATGCCATTCATCGTGCCCAAATTTTTTTTTTTTCGTAAACCATCACAGATAGCGATATTCATCAAGAGACAAAAAATGCTTGCAAGTAAACTGTCTATCAGTGTCTAAAAATTCAGAACTGTCAAAATAGTAGTTAAAAAGTTTTAGACCTCTTCAGATGTGGATGGTCAGTATTTTACCACCTACATAGCAACTACATTCAAAACGATGATATCACAAAAACCCTTTTTACATTAGACATTCACATCCCGAATTTCATTTTAATCGGCAAAACCATTTTCCGATAAAATAAAAATAACGATTTTTTTAAAAAATCTTTGGCGGTAGATAGCGTCTTACCGAAGCACTTTTGGATAGAGGTAAGTTGGGTTAAATCGTCCTATTTTGATACCAAGAACCCCTGGTAGCGCGTTGTACAGACCTTTTAGGGACACCCTGTATATTAGACACACTCTTAATAATAATTTAAAAAAGTTACTATGTGAGACTTTAGTTTTGTCAAAATTTAATTACTGTGACTTTATTTACGGCCCGTGTCTAGATTGTGTAACTAGCAGACGTATTCAAAAGATGCAGAATTCCTGTATCCGTTTGGTGTATGGAGTGAGAAAGTTTGATCACATTTCACATAAATTTCAGGAATCTGGGTGGTTAAACATGGCAAATAGAAGGCACTTACATAGGGGTACATTTGTACACAAATTCTTAAACAACAATACTACATGTAAGTTGAAGTCCAAATTCAATTTAAGGCACAGTACTCACTCGCACAATACTAGACATAATGCACAATTTACAATTCCACAGCACCGGACCGTTTTGTATAAAAGATCATTTATTTATAATGCCGTGAAATTAGTTAATTTATTTATTGATGAGTTTAAGATATTTAATATCAATAAGTTCAAATTTAAACTTAAACAATACTTTTTGAATTTGCAGCGTGTGAATCACTACCTAGCCACACTTGAGATCTAACTTTCATTCCTTATTTATCTTTTAGCTAGTTGTTTGGTCGTTGAAATATTGATATATTTTTGTTTCTCATTTTTGCTTAGTTATGCCATTAAGTCATTTAATTTCAGTTTAATTTATGTTTAGAGGACGAGTATCGTAGGTTAAGTAGAGTAGCCTGACTTGGCTAGACTTCGCCTATTATATCTCCCTTAATCCTCCTTAAAATGAAATTTAAGTTCTTTTTTCCCCCTCTAAATTTTTGGGGGCCCCTTAAAAAAAAACCAAAAATTTTTTTAAGGGAAACCCCCTTTAATTTATTTTATTTTAATAAAAAATTAATTTACTAATGTATTATTTTCTAAGATAACATTCCTACTTACTTCCTATATAGGGATTAAAAATAATGACTTTTTGAGATTTGGACTTGGGTAATGAAGGGAACAATTTCCGAAACAAGAAAAACTGGTCTTCAATTTTTGTGGTCCATAGCACAAATTTATTTAAACAATTATGACATCCGATCAAACTATGGCCCCATAGATTTCTAAATTTATATGATAACGATTTTCACAGGTGCGCGGATGTAAGAATGGTTCGCGTGGCTTCCGCAATGTAGCCCGGTATTTGCTGCGGTTTCAACCTTCCCCCATTTATTAAATTATATATCTGAATTCTGATGTAATTTACAACAAAATAAATGACTCATTTTTCATTACAAATAATGTTTTATTAGATTTTCGAAAATTTTCCAATTCCAACATGACATTCGCCTGCTTTACGAAAATAATTTTATTTGTTACTCAGTTGTAAACGTTGATTAACAAGACAAAACGCAAACGGGTAAACGTCATGTTTAAACGCTACTTACTTGTAAAACTGACAGCTGACCTGTAAAAATTTTACAAGTTAGTAATCTAGTCATTTCATTGGCCAGAATTAATGCGAAGTCTCTGTTAAGTACATGGATAACATGATATTTTAGACCTTTCTTCGAGATCAATTTAACAAGTAATTATTTACGTTTACTATTGTTTACAAATGAGTAACAAATAAAATATTGTACATTATACGCCAGGTAATAGTTTTTACTGGCTCTAGGAGATGACAGGCTCGCCTGACGGCTCGCCAATCAACTTCTCCTATCGCCAGTAAAAACTCACTTACCTGGCTAATAATGTAAAATACTATTACTGGCTCTAGGAGATGACAGGCTCGCCTGACGGCTCGCCAATCAACTTCTCCTATCGCCAGTAAAAACTCACTTACCTGGCTAATAATGTAAAATACTATATTTGGCTAGCCGTCAAACCTATAGCGGAATTATTTAAAGCATAGGTAGATAAGAAAATTATCAAAGTCCACGTGTGAGATCAGCGCATTTTTGTGTGGCAGATCAGTATTGTATTAGCCACCATCAACAAGATCTTGTCGCAAGCTACCACATTCCCTTTGTCGGTACCCGCTTCCGACGTCCCGTTCACCCACAATTCGCATTTAGATGAATTTTGCTAAAAACCCTCCACAAAATAGTTTTCAATTTTTGGGGCACTTCTCATAGCTCTATTAGCGACACGAGAAACAGAGATGGCTATTCGAGCTTTCTGAAACAAAATTCGCAGAGGAAGATACCTTGTAGGCGCCCTAAGTCAACTACCCCTCGAAGACGTGCGCCTTGTAAAATTAGGTTAATTTCGTACCCAGGAAATAAACAAATTTTCGGCACACAGTTGTTGTATCCGTTTAAAGATCTTTCCAACGGCAATTTGAAAACAATCTGAAAACTGATGGTGGAGTAAAACTTCAAAGTCGAATTGCGGATGAACGGGACGTCGGAAGTGGGTACCGACAAATTGTATGTGGTAGCCGCCGACAAGAGCTTACTGATGGTGGAGTCAAAACTTCAAAGGCAAATTGGGGATGCACCGGACGTCGGAAGCGGGTACCGACGAAGGGACGGCAAGATGTTATTGATGGTTGAGTTAAAAGTGGCTAATAGAATGCTGATTTGCCACAAAAAAAATTCGCTGAAGTCCCTTCGATCTCACACGAGGACTTTGACAATTGTTTACTAACGACATGCTGAAATAGAAAATTATCACTTGTAATAGTACTAATGCTTGCTATTTCCGTAAACTTTTCGAGCTCACAAATATTTGAACTTTCATAAAATATTCGTGAGTAAGAAAAAATTTCTATTCCAGCACGTGTGGTATTCGGTAAGAAAATTTCACACCATAGTGACCCGCAACGAACAATAAGCGACGTTTTATGTGAAAAATTTATTACCTTTTCACGTCAAAAAATTTCCGATAAATTCCTTGGTTGCCATGGAAATGTGACACGTACGAAATCCGCATTTCATTGGTCGACAATATTGCTGGTGGAAATTTTCTTTGAGATTTGATTTAAGACGCAAGATTATCAATTTTTATATGAACAGTTTTTTAACAGAGCTGCTAGATTCAAGAAGGTCCGACAACAAACACTTCGTTATGTTTATCTAATACATCGTCCAAAATGTACATAATTTTTATGTAATCGATATTATTATCGGTGTTTCTTGTGAGAACTCAGGTCTAGCCTGGTTAACTAATCGCACGGATTAAAATCAAGTAACGATTAGTGTCTGTGTCTGTGTCTGGTGAAGTTATGTAGGGGTTTATTATTATTATTATTTATTTTTGCCTTTATTATAAATTGTTTTTTGATACCTACATCAAATGTATGAAAAAATGTATGAAACGGTTTATAAAATGAAACGTTGTTACTCCTGAATATTAAATTTATTGACGTACAATATTTTTTCATCCGTCAATTATCGTTGGTACTAATAGACGAATAAATGGAAGGCATTGAGATCTTTTGTTGCTGGTCTAATAGAGTCATAACCATTGCATATAAATATAATGGCATAGAGTAAACGTTGTTTATAGTGTTAATATTGTCCAGGTAAAATGCTACCTGAGTTGCCTATCGGAATTGTATGGAAAGTACTGCATTTCTTCCGTCGCTATACTTTATAATATAAACTTTTGAGTAAAAATTACGTTTCATCTCATACTTTTGGTCCTAGTACCAAAAAGAAATTAACCTTGAAAGTTGGCCGATTAAAAAATTACAATCACGGAGATGTCACATTGACATCGTTTTACATTGCAGGTTGTAAGATATTTCTATACATACAAATCAAAACTTTTTGCATATTCAATGCAAATAATGCTGTTACCTATATATATGTAGGTAATTTACATATTCAGTGAACGTAATTTTAATACGTATACAACCCGCCGCATAGATATATAAATACAGCCATACCCAACATAGTTCAAAAGGACGTACCATCTATTACCATCACTTTCGGCACATTAATTACGTATAGCGCTATCCTTTATAGAGGTACCCTGAGCATGGAAGACAAGATTCGCATTATTTATTATAACTGTCAATCAAATTGTTAGCACAAATCACACAGAAAATTATCAGATTTGAGACTGTACAACATAAATAAACCGCCTTTTTATTTATTTAAATCGCATAGCAGCAAGAAATGTTACATTTAAAATGGAAGATGTTACTTAGAAAGCTGGCAAATGAAGAATTTGAAAACATTACAGCTTGTAAGGATTAAAAATTCAGTAATTTTATAATTCAGATTTCGTATAAAATCTTTTAAAAATTATGCGAATTTTGGACAAGAGAGGGCAGGAGCACTCCATATAAACATTTGACTGCGCAGATATCCCTGCCACTATCCTTACCCCACTACAACGGTAAGGTGTATATAAACAAGAGCACAGTCAAATGGAAAGCAGATCCCAGATCCTGCAACTATAAACGATCACCCGAGATCCACACCTGAATTATAATATTTACCATTGTTCTTTCTACCACCCTTCCAGATTCCGATTCAGCGTATGGTCGAGTATATCACCGTCGCTGCATCAACCCCGCAAATAACAACCCGATTCCATCTAATTGCTTCAGCGTATGGTCGAGTCTATCACCGTCGTTGTAGTCCTTCCGCAATCCCATTCCTGGACAACGTATGGTTTGAGTTAATCACTGTCGTTGTAGTGTATCCACCCTTACCGTAATCCATTCCTGTTAGCCCAACGTATGGTCGAGTTTATCACCGTCGTTGAAATTACCATTCTACCAGTACCTCGGCAACCCTGAGAACTCTCCCTTATTCAAATCCCGACCAGAACGTTTACGCTTCACGTAGACCTCCCTTCCTGCACGAGGAAAACACAACCTAAAACCCGCCCTGTATAATTACAATTTAAAGCTTGAGCGAATCATTACAACTGGAAGAAAGTGTGTGAACATGTGGAAAGTGATTAATTTAAAAGAGAAGTTATATTGGTTGATGTTTCTGAACTTTATAATCAGTGTTAATAATGACAGTGATGATTCGGATTTGTCAATTTCATCTGACGATGATTCGGATTGTGAACTTTTACAAACATAGGTAATGAATGTTCACTAAATGAGTATTATCACCAATTGGATATCATTGTTAAGATGTTGTAGTTATTTTAAATAAATGTACACGTGTAGCTTACTTACTACAATTAGCACTATATGTAATTTCAAAAAGAAACCCAACCGATTGGACATATGCCGAAAGGTAGGCAAGACGCGTAGCGACCAAATTTTGATATTGCATGCACACACAGTCTATAAATCTCGTTTTTCTAAGCATATTGCACGGATCCTTCTTTGTGATCATGATACAAACGCACTGCATCAACATCATATAGGCCAAAATGATAATTGGAAACGAATTCACTTCCTGTCGCAACTTAATCTCCGTTACCATTACGCCTAAAACCATGCAATTCAAATTAAAATGTTGAACATAAACTTTACTTACTTACGGTTTTTTTTGATATTCTGCAAGCCAGCAATGAATTCACTGTAGCACATCATGCCAAACAAGGTAAACATAGTCCCAAATTTGAATGGCGTAGCTCTATGTAATAAAACTATTTCAGGAATAACAATTATGGACGCGTCTATCATTATGGCAAGCACTAATGTTATTCGTATTCAATTGATAACGCAATAATTACATAATATTTAGTGAAAAAACCGTTCATCATGTTTAGGGCGAATATTTTTAGTTAGATTTGATTTCGCGCGATCGTGAAATGTGTCAACTGTCACATGACTTTTGGGACGCGCTAAGTTTGTTTTAAGCGTCCGATTCGCGTACGACATAGTGGTTAATGCAATAAAAAGAGATAGAACATGTTTCTTCTTGGTTAGAAAGTAATGGAGAGATGTACAAATTTCTTAGATATGTTTTTTAAAAACCGAGGTACGTTTGTTAAGGATGGCTGTATCTAGGTATTTATATATCTATGATATGCCGTCGCGCGTAACGCCATCTACTTCAGACCCATTGCACTATTATCTGTCATTTTGAATTCAAAATTTGAAAAAGTTAATTGCAATTAATTTTAATTAAAAAAACTGTATGGTAAGTTTTTTATTTCAATACAAAATATAACAATATTAATTTTGTATACAATAGAAATGACTGAAACTGATAGCGACATGAATTGCACTCCGCCAGAGATTATGGAAACGTCAAAACATGCTACCTTAGATTCCTCCCAACAAAGTCGCGAGAGGTGAGAAGTAAGAAGTAAGAACGAATAGGTTATAAGTTAACCTAAAATATAGAGTGGCATGACACGTGAGGACAAGAAAGCAGAAGTTCTCAAACTACTAGTCAAACTGTGTACTGAATCTAAATTCGAATATAATTTAAAGTAAAGGGGGTTGGAGAAAAAATTTTATGTTTTATTCGTACAAAAAATGCGTTTTCGGGACTCGGAAGGTTGATGGACTTCGCTAACGCGTCGTCCAGCAACTATCTTCCTCGTCCCGAAAACTGACATTTTTTGTACTAATGAAACAAATAACTATTTTTACTAAGGCCAGTATGCGCGTTCCTAGTAAATTCAAGATTATCATTTATACACGACTTAAATAATTTTATCAAAAAAATAAATCGCTGCATTCCATGACTTTCTCTATCTCTATCAATCTCCGATAAGACCTCTAGTTAGAATTAATATTTGGGTTTAAAAAATTACTTAAAAGTTTCGACTTTTATTGCAAATTTCAGTGACCATTGTGTGTTGCCTATCCTCTATCCCTAGCACCCTTAATGTCTGATAACAAATTGATAAAAAAAAATTAATCGACCTCTATTTTTTTGGCCTAATAACGTTCGGTAATAGGATACTTTTGTTTCTCTCTTTGTTGTTAACTTTGTATGATTTGTAAAAAAATACTTACCGACGCCTTTTTAAAAACAATCAGTTCAAAATCAACAGTCTAACATTTAATCTTTAATTATTGTTAGTTACATTAAACGTACAATTTGTGCTGTTGGTTCCTATAGAAAGACGCTCATAAAGCCATAAAGGAAGTGCAAAGCTAGCAAACTACATCAGACACATGCACAATTTTATGAAATCATTAATTTCAATTTTGACAAATAAACTGGTTACCTAGTGATGTACACCATACCACTTCGATCATTTCGATTTATTCTGCTCGTTAATTTCTTAGTGCATATTTATATTTGGTTGAATAATTTTAATTTCGATCGCGCAAAAAATTTTATAAGCACGTCGAACGTTAAGGGTTACCGTTCTCAGACAATAATTGGAGTCGTCGCTTCGCTCCTCCTCCAAACAATTGTCTTCGAACGGTAAAAATCCCTTACCGTTCTCCATACTTAATATACTATTTTGTAATATTGTTTGCTAAATTGCAATTATCGAGTTACATGAAACTATACCTACCTATGAAAAGTCAACCACAAAAATATCCTGCTAAATCTATTAGTGGTATGGTAAGATAATTCCACGTTGATATTTACAATGTTTTACCGAAAATCGTCATGAAACCTTAATTTTTCATACCTACTTTATGCGAGGAAACTTTAGTTTCCATGACCGCGGCAGATCAATCGACTTTTCCTACCGCCTATCACTTTACCGGCCGCACTTGTCACTTTTCCGGCCGTACGTGTCATATTGCTAAATGTCCATAGTGACTCTTGTCATAACCCCCAGGTTCTACGCTAACTTCACACTACAAGAACACGGAAATAAAATAAACCCGGCAACGTTTTAAAAAAATGGCCACCCGAATGACTATTCCCTCTAAAACTAAACAAGTACCCGCTTAAATTTGAAAAGTGGCACGTGATAAAACATCTAAAGCAGGGCCTCCTTACGTTAGTTGTAGACAACGCTTTGACCTGAAGCACAGTAGGGAAGGAATTTTAAATAAAACACTGAAATTGTGAGAAGTTCGTTTAATAATGATCGTAATTATTATGATTGTGAAAACCCGGAAATTTAGTTGGTGTACATTAATATAAACAAAACAAACAAAGCCAAAAGGTGTCGTACTCTCGCAAAAGTCACTGCCAAGGATAAAAAGAGTACGGCGTAAGAAAAACCTTGCAGTTTGATTAAAACAGTCCAAAAGTTAATTAACAAAATATTTTGTAAAAGTTTAAGCAGTAGTTAACAAAGATAGTAAATGCATATACACAAGGATGGTTACACTCAAGGTTAAAAGCAAGTTTTTGGGGACAATGGGTCAGGTAGAAGCAGGTACCAAGATTCTGAGAAAGGGTTAAAAGTACAGGATGTGACTCATCTTTGGTGCAATAAAGTCCTTTTGTTGAAAGCAAGATGGAAAACTACATGGCCTTGTAGGCAAATTTGACTAAAAACAAGATATGTGGAAATTATTAAATCGCCACTCATTTAACGCACATAGATTCTAAACTGAAGAGCTTTGATTAGCGTAATCTCGCTCCTGCAAGATGGGTAGTCCGCCCCTGGTTTCGGGGTTTCGAACCTACAGTTGGATTTCGAAGACAGTGCACGGAATTAGGTGCCCTAACACATAATTATAGACTACAGTTTCTTTTTCCACCTTTCCGAGACTGCTTCATTCACGGAGAAAATTGTTAGTAACATACAACAAGTCAGTACATACATTAAACGAATCGGTAATTTCCACATATTAAAATAAAATGAACCAAACTTATATGAATGTAACTTCAGGGACAAGACCAAGTAATCAACATCAATAAACATAAATTAAGCAAACATTACACCAAAAACTTAAACAATTACAAACAATAGCATAACGGTATCACACATATGATTGCATTGCGGTTAAACCAAGTAAATTTCAAAAACAAATATTCAAACATACAAAAATATAAAATGCGACAAACAAAACACAAATACGATATAAAGAAATGCAAAAATTACTACCTGCATTAAATAACACAAAATAACAACAACCATTTATGGAACGAAACGTTCACGACCGCCATTCGAGACAAGATGCCAAACGTAACTCCCGTTCGTGCTTATTAGGTGGCGCAAGCAGCTTTTTTTTCCCACCTAGAAATTGCATGGTTGCCAACTCTCAAATATGTATGTATCGTCGTAAGCTGTATATACAGGGTGGAACCTTTCAGTAGTATCAAAGAAATGGGCGCGTTCAACTACTTTGAAACTATAATTGGAA